ATACATTTTTAACAGTTTTTGTGTGGGCTATACTAATTAAATAAAACTTTAGTGATTTTATTAATAAAAAACTGATCAGAATACTTCCTGGGTAGCTTGATATACCTTTTTTCCTTCCTCTCTTATTTTCCAACCGATTAAGTTGGTACTATTTATGTCACATGAAATCACTTTCTTCTGTTCTAGAGTCTTTCTTAATTAGTTAATTTTCAATTTCTTTCGTTTTTGATTGACAAAGTCTCATCTTTCATTCTGTAGCTTATCAGTGGCGAGCATGTGGGGGCTCTTGCAATGAGTGAACCCAATTGTAATTTATGTGCATTACACTTCTTTCATCTTGCACTTAAATTCTGAGTATTATCTAGGTTCATTTAAGGTAATTAGGCTGATCTCTCTCTCTCTCTCTCTCTCTCTCTCTCTCTCTCCAGCTGGTTCTGACGTTGTTAGCATGAAGTGCAAGGCTGATCGTGTAGATGGGGGTTATGTCTTAAACGGGAACAAGATGTGGTGTACCAACGGCCCAGTTGCTCAAACATTGGTATGGTTTGTTAGAATTGCTTTAGCTAAGCATGGATATTACTACCCATATGCTTCTCTCTCTCTCTCTCTCTCTCTCTCTCTCTCTCTGTGTACGTGGGGGTGTAAGTGCACTCATCTTTTGCTTGTATTGTATGCTCTGAAATGTTGGATATTTGTCAAATTTTACTTTTTGTAGCCATAATGAAAGCTGTCTAATATGTATATGCAAGAGTAGAATTTATCTGACATGTACATATATATTATTTTTATGTAGTTTGTGCTTAAAGCATCTTTTCCCAGGAATGTGAGAGGTTTAAGATTTCGTACAGCTTACTCTAGGAACCTATAGAATAGGCTAATGCACAAGATGTCCCCTGATGCAGTCTCTAGATGACCATTGAGAACCATTCCATGAATAATCTCGAGGATGATTCTGTTATCATTGAATTGCAGCAGATGTGGACTTTCTTTGTTTAATATCCCAATGTTTTAACTTAAACATGTGAAGGACTAAGTTTTATTACTAATGATTGCTATCAGGTGCAGCTCTCAATGATATGCATGCTATACTATGTCAGCCTATAATTATAAACATTTACGTTGGCCCGCATTCATTAGGAGTTATGTTTTAGTGGTTATACTAGTACTGCATTTTCAAAGCAGTGTCTTTAGCATACTATTTCATTTTGACAGTACTAAAGGCTTTGTACCGCTATATCATATCTAATATTTCTGTAGCGTGTTCATACATATCTGCATGCACATGTGAATTTATCATCTCATTTACCTGATATTTAGAGTTGGATCAGGTTGTTTATGCAAAAACAGACATAACGGCGGGCTCAAAAGGAATTACAGCATTCATCATCGAGAAAGGAACACCCGGGTAATTAATTGTGTCGGACGACTCTAATACAAACCCGACCTGTTTGTTGATCAATTTGTTTGTGTAAACCCATATATTTTACAAGTTAGAAACTTAGTATTAGGAACTTTAGGAACTTAAGGAATTTTTGGATCCATAACATTTATCAGATCAAGTACAATGACTATCTTTTCTCTAAATTTTTGTTAGGTCCCTCCTCCAGTAATTTGTTTGCCCATTTTATAGGTTGCTTGTACATTTTTCAAAAAGTTCTGCTAGCACTATTATAATGTTGAAGCATTAAACATAATTACTATGATGAATTTAATATAATGTAGAAACGAGATATGTAAAGGATAAACTTAATTAAACATTTTAGTAGAAGAGGGTGGAATAGAAGCACTCCATATAAATCTATAGTGCTCTTAGGTGACATCACAGCCCTAAATGATCCCAAAAGATGTAAGCAGAAGAGAAGAAAATGAAGCCTACTTGCAATGCATAAAATCAAACCATAATAACAAAATGCATGACAAATAGTTTGAATTCCCTCACTTTTATGAAGTTATTTATGCCTCAATGCAGGTTCAGTACTGCTCAGAAGTTGGACAAACTCGGCATGCGAGGAAGTGATACGTACGTCTAGAATGCTTTAAGTGAAGTTGTCTAGTTTGGGAGTACATTCCCTTCTTCGTTCTCTCTTTTTCTACTAATAGTGGCAATGGTCTGAGCAGATGTGAACTTGTCTTTGAGAATTGCTTTGTTCCAGAAGAAAATGTTCTTGGGCAGGAAGGAAAAGGTGTAGTGATACGTATATTTACAACTTTCAGTATTGGAAGGAGATCATTTGGATACGTTGCATGTTATATTACTTAGCAAGCAATGATATGTTACATGGTTTGAACCTGATTGCTCATCTATCTTATGGCTTTAATTTGAACCTTCTTAGCTGCTCTTTACTATTACGGTTGTCAGAACTCACTGTTAGAGCAGAACAAAGTTGCTTTTGGGCTTATTCTTCCGTCACTGTAACTGCTCAGCCATACTCATTTTGGTAACATATGATGAACTTAGCTATGCCAAGAGTTTTCTCTTATAGCATTGACCTCCCATAGTGTCACCTAAAGCAGTTAGAAGGACTTTCTTATCCTAATTTGAGTGATAAGATGATAACGCTTTGAATCTTGAAACTAATTGCTTCCCGGGGAAATTCTTGTTGAGGGAATGTAGATACCATTGATATTGGAATAGCAAGTGGAATCTTTAGGAGTTTTTTTTTTGGGGTCATTTATCCTATGTACTTAGTGTGGGTAGCATAAGCGTCTTATGCTGTCGTGATTCTGGTTCAACCTACATTGTTATTGAACTTTCTTTCAGGTGTCTATGTCATGATGTCCGGATTGGATTTGGAGAGGCTTGTTTTAGCAGCTGGACCCCTGGGCATTATGCAGGCATGTATGGATGTTGCCCTTCCTTATGTTCGACAGAGAGAGCAGTTTGGCCGTCCAATTGGAGAGTTTCAGCTTATACAGGTTTATTGTTGTATTTACACAACTTAAGTTGATGTTTCTAGCTCCTGTTTGTACTTAAATTGTAGCCTTTATGCTGTTAACAAACTTGCAATTACAGGGGAAAATTGCTGACATGTATACTTCTTTGCAATCATCAAGGTAAAAAGATTTTTATTCCTTTATCACCGCTTTTCTTTGTTTATTTCTTGTAATATTCGCCTGGTAGCAGAGTTAAGCATTTCTCTCTTTTTGTTCCCCCTTCATTTTCAGGTCCTATGTGTATTCTGTTGCAAGGGAGTGTGACAATGGAAAAGTTGACTCGAAGGTGCTGTTGGGGTTTCTGAATTTTTTTCCTTCACTTAAGTTATAATTTTATCAGTTTTAGCATTTAGCAAAAAAAAAGCTTTGGCTTAGGCAAATAATAACTCTTCTTGATACAAATTTTCAGGATTGTGCTGGAGTTATACTCTGTACGGCTGAAAGAGCCACACAGGTAGCTTTGCAGGTAAAAGATCCTGAATAAATTCCATTCTCTCTCTTATTTTTGCAAATGAGTAATTTTTAAACATAAACCCCAGTCAGGCCAACCAATTTGGTCTTAGTTGATTATATAAATCATATTCTACGTATTGCTTGAATGGCATGGCATAGTATGGGTAATTATTTCCATTCACATGGTTAAGTCTATTTTGAATGTTGCAGGCTATACAATGCTTAGGCGGTAATGGTTATGTAAATGAGTACTCAACCGGTCGTTTCCTTCGAGATGCCAAACTATATGAGATTGGAGCAGGGACTAGTGAGATCAGAAGGATGATAATTGGTCGTGCACTATTTAAGGAGCAGTGAGAGACTCATGTCCAGTTGCTGAACTGCGATAATCTGCAGTACTCGAGCACTGTATCCAAGATACACCTGATGTTGCAGTCAATCATTTAAGTTTACTTCACACACATATTTCGGAATACAGAATCAATAAAGGATCGAACCCAAATGTACACTGGTTTGTCCATGATAGCAGAAAAAATGGCTGACTGATCTTACTTGGTTGGTCATCTTTAAGTAGATTGATTTTCCTGGCATTGGACGAGAATCAGAGTTTTCTTCTGGTGATTAAGAAACTAAATTCAGAAATTGAATTTCATTTTTTCACTCTTGCTGGAAAATCATACTCAATTGTATGTACTCTAATGTCTAAACCATGCTCGGAAATAAAAGAGAAGCCTTGTTTGGTGGTTGTCAGGAGTACTTTTTGGCTGAGTAATGAATAAGGGTTCTACAGTGACTTTGATTTGAACACACCGCTGAAGGTTGGAGAAATAAACCAAAAGATCCAGGGTTTGAAATTCTACTGTGTGATTGAGGTTTGACAAGTAAGATCTATTGCATCTCTGTTTTTTGTTTGGCTAACTTGAAATATAATGAGATTTAAAACATGGAATTTGACGTTTATTATTTTAGAGGGTATCAATTTACAAATGAGAGGTTGTGGTTAGGATGTGTTAATGGCGGTGGTACCCTCATGTCATGTGTGATGCTGGTGGTAAGATGGTGGGTCGGGTTGTGGTGGTGGCGATGGTCATATGTTGGTAGTATAGGTGCTGGTAGTAGTAGTGGCGATGGTCATTGTAATGTGGTAGTAATAGAGGCGGTGGGTCTGGTGGCAGCGGTGATGGTGGCATCATCCAGGGCAATCTGGTGGTAGTAGAGATGGTGGCGATGGCAGCTTACATGTTTGTTTTCTGTTTCAAGGTTTTTTTTCACATGAAAATTTTAAATTACTTTGTTTATGAATCCAAACAAGGGAATTGATTTGTGTGAATTTAGATATTCTGACTTCTACCTTAATTCCAAGTTTATATCCCTCATTTGTCCATACACAGTAAAGCTTGAGGCAAGTCAGGAACAAATTTAAAAGATCTCCTTACCTTACAGGGACAAATTTATATGGTGGTCAGCATCCTGAACATCAAACTTTGTTCCTCCCACCTTAGTACCAAACGCCAAATAAACTTCAAAAATTCTTTCATCTTCTCCACTAAGGCGGAGACTTAAGAGAACATATCCAACAATTTACACTCAACAAGTCACAGTACTACATATTTAAATCTCTAGAAGGCCATACATGTTTCATTTTCGAGATGTGTTTGGCCTAGGAAATCCGGAAAATACATAACTAGGTTCTGGTGCGCATTATTTGCATAGGCGGATAAAGTTATAACAACCTAATGACAACCCTGGATTTTATTCTTTTTAGACCCTGATTACTGTTGGGGAAGAATCTGGCTGGCTCACTGATGAGGACTTTGACATTTCCAGCATGACTGGGGCTTGTTCCAAACAACTTTGAGTATCGTCACTGATCATTCCGATGGTCATCTTCTCCACTTCTTCCTGAGTGTATATATGAATTTTGGAGACCACGTTGCAAAACTCACTGCATCAAGAACCCATCATTTTCAAAAGGTCATATAAAAAATGTTCATATGGATTGTTCAAAAACTCCAAAACAACATTTCCTGATAGCGAAACAACATATTATTCTGCAGTTAACCAAGCTAAGATGAAATGGCGTTTTATAATTCAGGCTAAAAAGAAGAAGAGAAAAACACACGGAGACACACACGTCGCATCTCTGTCTAGAAAGGGGAACAATGGAAAGAACAAATTAACTCTTTAAGTACACATCTTGTTGCCTTGCTTGGTATCCTAAAAACCAAATTGTTAACCGAAATTAGAGCTGCATTTATGCTATTGCTTCCTATGACATAAAAGACTATGCACGAGTATATCATTCAAAAGAACTAGGCAAACATAAAAGTTTAATTCAGAGAGAGAGAGAGAGAGAGAGATAGAGAGAGAGAGAGGACACTTACTGCCATGGGTCATCCCCAACAACCATGACATCATTCTCACTGTCAGTGTACAAGATCCGCCATCCTTTATCAGAATCTCGTAGAAGGCCTTCCATGCTAAATAGCCGTTCTAGTTCACTCAGCAGGTCACCATAGCCATTCAGTTTCGAGAGATCAATGGCTCTTCCCACTAAGCTGCCTTGCTTGTGAACCTTCACTCAATATATGTAACATCAGTTGGCAAAGATGTCCAAGACATGGCAAGTTACAATCCAACTTGAGGGCTACTGTAGCTTACCTTTGTACAACTCCTCTTACTGGAACTCTGAGAGTTTGGAGTGGGATTTTCCCCAGTCAAGGAAAACCCAAAAAGTTTACATCCAGTAACAGTTCCATTAAAGTCTTCATCATTGGGATTTCTTGGATTTGGCACTAACGTGGGAGGAGCAGAGCTACTCTCCTGCGGCTTATGCTCACTAGGTTTATTTGGCCTTCCAGCTTCATTTCGTGTAACTCCCATTTGCATAGAATATGGGTTGATTTTCATACTCTCCCTGGGTAAGTTAGTACCATTAGAGCATATCACAGGATCTTGGCCAGCTCTGCGAATGTCGCCATAAGGAAAATATATATTTGGAAGGGATTCAGAAGCTAGAGAGAAAAAATTTGGTTTGGGCGCTTGATAAATGTTGAAAGATGTGCAACCAAGGTTGGATTCCCAATCACCTAGGGTGAAATTTGCTTTTCCGGTCAAAGATCTCAATGGGCATATTTCTTGACCTTGCAAGACTTTTGGAAACCTATCAGATTCCGCAAATCCTGTGTAGGTGGAGTGGCGAGCCCTCATAAGCTCGCCAATAGTAGCCTTCTGTGTTGCATTTGATGCAAGACTTGGATGTGTCGGAGTTTGCATCTCAAAATCTTGCGGGCGGTTTACAGTATCACATCCATACAGGGGTGATATGAAACCTATATTTTCTTGACCTTGCAAGACCTTAGAGGATTTAACTGATTCCTCAAAGTCCATAAACCCACCCCCTCCAGCTGCAAGAAAATCGACACATTGAGGATAGAAGTTGAAAAAAATGAAAAATTCTTGCTCTGGTTGGTAAGTGTTGTACCAGTTATGGAGTTGTTGGGCGGAGTTGCCTGCAGACTTGTCCGCAGTTTCTTCATCAATCTTGGAGAAGACTGAATGCTCAAAGGTGGGAGAGAAACGGAAGGATCAATCTCCCACGGGGAGACTCGTTCTTGATGATCATTTCCTATATCTTCATCCCATCTGACCTGGTAAATGTAAAATAAAGGGGTAAGTATAAGAATTGCTGCAATACTGCAATAATAGAATCATAGCTCTTGAAGTTGTCGTCTCTTTACACAAAAGGAAGTGCATATGTGGTGCACGGTCAGACACAATTAAATAAGAAAGCAACAGTGTCAATTGATGGGATCCATTTGAAACCATAATCTTCCCATTTGTTATTCTAAGGATCAACATTTGTGCCATGGACAAGTACTTCTTCAAATGAAAGAGAATATCAATCCAATAAAAGTACCAAGGGGAGAAAAGGAGAATAAATTACAAAGCATACCATCAAGCATCTCCATTTGGAGTTAGGCCATCCATAGGGATCCAAGTCGCTGATGCCAGTCACTACACCACTACACCTACAAGTTGTATCAATAGAAAATTTAACAAGGAAAATATGCTGGCTATGCCATTTAATCTACTTATAAATACCTTCTTTCCGGTGAATCATCCCTATCAAATCTCATTTTGAATCTTGTCCCGGTGGTCACTGGATTAGCAATGCTTCTGACATACTTTTGGTAGGGGATGACAAACTCTGCATGGCTTGCCCTGCATTACCGCAATTCAAACAAGTTCAAAGGTTCTGTTCAATGCATAAGACCAACCTAGCATGTTTACAAATCTCCAAGGAATCAAGTTAAAAAAAAAGATGCTATTATACACATGAATAGTCCCAGCTTAGTTAAAAAGCCTGATATCATGTGATGATTGTAACAGCCACAATTTTGTTTTTACTTTTTGAAATCCTAGTAAATCGTCATTTCATTACATTAGAGTGCTTCCATTGCACGTGCGACATTTTCCCACTGCTTTTCATAATGCATGCAGTCCATCACTTGTAGTTCCAATTAGTAATGAATTGATAGTGAACTATGTTAGGCAGTAACCTTAGGAGCTCCTTATGAATTGCTTTAACCCTCCTCGCCCCTTCTAAAGGCAATGATAAATAATAGCCTCCTAAATACATAAAATAAATTCATAAACGTGTAACAGAGGAATTTAAAAAAATTTCTCCAGTAGATATCTCCAATTCAAACACGATGAATAAGAGAACAACTATAATGCTAGGCACGGAAATCATTTTAAAGAAAAAAAGTGCAGAGGTTAAAGAGAAGAAGACTTGAAGAATGTCGAGTGAACTGCACCATTGGGTGCTTCCATGTTAAAAAAATTTGGCAAAAGATCAAATTTTTTATATGTAAGAAACAAACTATTAAAGGAAAATTAAATAACTATCTGAGAGAGACATCACTGTCGTTAAGCATATAATGGAACGATAGGAACCATAACTAAGCCTCGTATAAACTATAAAGAGAGAATCATCCTTAAAAGAACGATATGCACAAAACATAGGATAAACAACTTGGTAGATTCTGAAGTTAATAGATTACTAGGTTTTTTGGTAGGTTTCCAAGCAACTCTGCTGTCTATTGGCAGAGTAAACAAAAAAATAGTGCTAACCATTTTATTGATGATCGTGTCTCCCCATTTCTATAGACTGTTATCAAAGTCAGAAACATTGTATGTGAACCATCAATGATAAGCAGGATGCCCTATGAACATTCACAGAAGTTAAGTTTTATGAGTTGTGGCCATTTCCTATTTCTTTAGTGTACTTCCTGATAAAGGAACCTCAGCCTGATAGTTTATAATGTTACAATACTTCAGTCCCCTAGGACGTTCAGGGAAGTAAAATTTTCTTTTCTATCTTTTGTGTGGCAGCATACTTCAATTATCTTTGGCACACAAGATCAAGACAAACATATTTGAAGAGTACAGGTAAATATGCATTTTCAGATATTAAGTACTAGGTTTGGCTTATTGGGAGGATACACAATAAATTAGTGATCTAATGAAAAAGGCTACATATAAAGATACAGAATATACCATGGGGTTACTGATAGAATCATATTTCCATTGATTTCATCAACCAGTACCACCAAAGAGTTGATACTATTATCGCCAAAAAGTAAAGTGGAATAATAAAATAAAAAACACAATACATGATAAAATTTCCAAATAGTAGTAGTACCTAGGGCTGTAGAATACATGAAACATGCTCTTAGTGGATATTGCATTAGCCACAAGAGAGAGAACACTGGGATAAGAATTCTGGTTGCCCACAATTGAATCAGGAAGACCATTTCTAGGTCGAACAGCTCTTCTAATTCCCAACCTTAGCTCTCCATTTTCACCCCTACAAAGAACATTATAAATGATTCATGCTATCAAGATTACCAAACAATGAACACAATCAAGCAAATTTTTAACACCACAGAGACGTCAAAATAATCTTGTTCCTAGGAAATAATATTCTTATTCATGAAATACACATAACACAAGTCAATATCCTACCATGTGTGAAAACCTCATTTTTGCCTTTGGGGCATTAAGTATTTGAATATACGTATATACTCAACCAATATGCGGAGAATCAACGCTTTACCATCCTTAGTAATATTAAATAACTCCTTGACAATGAAATCTCCAAAATCAATCAAGCATTAATATCACTTATATAAATGACATTTTCGCTACTTCTCACCGTTTTAAAGATCAAAAACAGCCTCCAAATTGGAAAATATACAAATCTGAATGATAACTAAGCCTTGGCCAACTGTCACTAAAATAGGAAATTAATCGTAGTTACCTCAAAAAAAGCACAGCATCCCCCGAGACAAGATTCTTTTGGCTTATAAAAATACTCCATCCTGTAGTGAGCAGGTGTCGCCTTGGCTGACCTGATGAGTAATACAAACTGAATTGTATCAAATTTAATCATCAATCAAACTACACAGAGAGTTATAAATAATTTACCTCTATAAATATGTCGAAACCTCCACTCCACCCCATGCAGGTCCTTTGCAACAAGCTCTTGAGAGGGCCTCTGCTGCTTATAGTCCTACAGAAAATAAAAAATATGTTTAAAGTTACACAGAAATATCTTCTTTGAACACCAGAGAAATATAAATGCATTGATTCGTACCAAAGGAGGAAAACAGTCCTCAGCAGCTCTGCGAGGAACAGAGAACCCTCCATGGGTACTGGTATCAGAAGCTGTAAGTGTTTTGCAGAACATGTGAGGGGTTGATTTTGTAGGTGATCCTCCATCCCCCTCATCCACTCCTAACTCTTCAAGCTCTTTGCCGTCTAAATTTGTTCCTACCAACTGTAGAATACCCAGAATTGGCACTCAATATAACCATTACAGAAAGATAAAACTGAGCAGCCTTAAAGACAAGATGCATTCTAACAGAAACTTTAAATCTACAATGATAAAGACTTAAGAAGTCACATAGAACACTGTCACTCCGAGTTTCCAACAGGAAACATGTAATTTCTAGTACACGGTCAGTTTTTAGTTACTTAACCAAGATGAAGTACCTTCAATGTCAATCAAGAATCATACCTCAGGCTCTGGCTGAGGAAGCAAAGTGACATGCGTATAGACCTCGTCATTTTCCTTGTTAGCCTGTCTCAAGAATTCAATAGACAATAAATTTCACAACCAAACTAAAAAAGCAAGCATATTTGGAAGAAGAAAAAAATTACAATGTTGGAAATTCTATATGGAAGTATGCATAAAGAATTGGCATTGGTACTTACAAGTAGCTGGACATTCACAACCTTGCAGAAGATCTGTGGCTGGAGATCAAAGGTGGGCATCTCCATGGAAGAGAAAGGAGAGGATGAGGCAACTTGTTCCAAGTGACCTTGTGGGAAGTAGACAATCACATTCCCTTTCTTGGGCAGTGAGATGAGTGGACCAGCACAAGCATGCCAAAGCTCCAAATAAATTGAAGAAGCCACAGGAGCTGAAGACGAATTTGAAGAAGATGAAGAAGTTGAAGAGGACAAACAATAAACACAACCACCACCCACCTTGTCACAATCCCCATTACAATAAGCACTCTTCTCCACCTCAGTCACTGCATGGTTCAGATCAATTTCCATGAACACCCAGTAATATTTATGTTCCCCAGAGTTGCTCAACAGAAAGCACAACCCAGTAAACAATCCAACAGCAGAAGTAGCAAGAAATTGAAAACAACAAAAGATGGGGAATAGAGTAAAATGAGAAATCAAACGGGAAAAATAAAGGGTACCCACAAAGCAAAAATAGAAAATTGGAAATGAGGAGGTCAAATCATGTCAAGAAATTCTCATACTTCGAGGGGTACCCACAAAGCTAAAACAGGAGAGGAATGTGTGGTATGAGCAGATGAAGATAAAAGAAGAAGAAATTCATATTTGGTTTGCAGGAAAACCCAGTAGTCAGTGAACTGAGGCAGAGAAGGCTGAAAGATGAGAAGGGAAAAAAAGAGAGAAGAGGGCATCAAATGATAACAAGAAATTCAAAGTATGATTCCATTTCCTCCCCCATTTGCAGGTACTGAGAAGAGGGAGCAGAAGAAGCAGCAGACGTAGACAATTGCATAGGAACACAGAAACAAAAGGCGGAAAAAGCCAATGTGGTGATGGGCTTTTCGACTTCGACTGTTTAACAGAGAGAGAGAGATAGAGAGAGAGAGGGACTGTGTTGGGTGGGGGGGACAGGCTAAGACACTACACTACCAACACTCTCCCCCTCTCTCTCTCTCTCTCTCCTCTCTGCTTTTGCTCTGCCTCTTGGCTTTATCTTTTTTCCTTTTAATTAGTAATTTTCCTTCACTGTAGGACGTAGGTCCTCCACCAAAGACAAAAGGAAGGTTTAGTAAGTAAAAAAGAATAGACAAAAAGGGGTTTCCATTCCTTTTTTTTCTTTTCTTCTTCCTCTTTATATAAACGTGAAAGAAATCAGTAAAAATTAGAGATGAGAGTACCTTGTGAGCCAAATTGTTGTGTTGTTGGTACAATTGCTAGATTTGCAATTTTTGTTTTTATAATTTGTGTTTGGAAAGAGGAGCTTCAATTTAATCAAGCGTTCGTGCTTGAAGATCAATGTACATCTGCTTGAGTTTCTTAATTAAAACATTCTTTTTTTAAGGAAAACAAAACAAGATGAAACTAATCACATCTATGAATGGAGAAAATAATATATATATCACTCGCAAATATATGCTCCCATTTAAATTAATTTCTACTTGTTTTCAACTTCTCATAGATGTAAGAGATACAAAATAAAGATGAGCTCAAAATTAAAATTCTAAGTTTAAGTCAGGTCCCAAACCATGTATAGTAAGGAATTAAACCACCTCACCCTTTACTCTTTTAAGTTAAAGTAACTACTTTGTATGTACACTACACAAACCCGTTAGATTTTAAAAAAATATTTAAACTAAACAAAATAGCACTAAACATATAAATAATTGGGCCTAATAGAGCTAAACATGTCATATGCAAAGTGCTTAACAACCGACCCACAATGTCTGTTTCACAGATATACGTTCTTAACATGTGTCGCTTCAAGTCATCTTTCTATTAACCTATTTGTTTTACCGACTTAACTAATTGGGGATTGTTTTAAGTTTAAATAAATTAAATGCTCTTTTCTTTTCTTTTTTTTGCCAATGTTTTTAAATAAATTACATGCTCTTAAATGTCACAATTAAAACAAGATGAAACAAGAAAATGGGAGATGGGAAAACTACTTTTTTTCTTCTTCTTTTTTTCTTTTCGAAGGTTGTATATTAAGATATAAGAGTGACGGAGCAAATGGTCCAAAAAATGCTCAAATTAAGTGGTGATCTTTTCAAAAAAATTTCAGTTTTATGTTGAATGTATAACTCACTAATTCAGTTTATGGTTGAGATACCATATCAGAAAAGAGGCCATTAATAAAACAAAAAAGAAGTTGAGAGAGAGAGAGAGAGAGAGAGAGAGAGAGAGAGAGGGGCCCTTGTGACTTTTGGCAGCAAATATGGTGGGAGTGTTGTTGTTGTTATTGTTAGTTGTTAGGACTCACTGACTCATCACACCCCCCTCCCTGCTCAGTCCACACACCCTTTTTTCCATCTCAAGTCTTATCAACCCTTTCTCTCTTATTTTTCTCACAGCACCCGACCCTTTATCTCACTCTGCTTCAAGCGCGTGTACTACACGATTATGGATTATTCAGTCTGACGCATGGTCTTGAGAGAAGAGCGCGTGTGGGAGATTTCGATGTCTTTTGGCCTGCGCCTTTGGCGCTGCTTCGTTGCCCCACACATACATTCTTTCTCTCACACGCCTCGATTTTTGATATACCGAATTTCTCCTCTGGGGTTTTTGTATTTACCGAGTGCTCCTCCGTTAAACTTCTGAGAAACTGACATGTGCAGCGCACGAGCATTTACGAAGCTGTCCCCCTCCTCTTCTCACTGACATCTCGCGCCCTGTTCATTTGTCCCGAAGCTCTATTGTATTGTCAATGGACTCCTCCCGCATATGATTATGATGGTTCAAACCAGCAATTTAATTAGTCAATCAAATTAATCGGTTCAGTTGGTTAAGATAATGTGTATGTTGTCTCGTATTCGAGTTTCATCTTATATTCTGTAGAATATGATCTTGTAAAGAAAATCAAATTAATAATAATAAAACTTTTATTGTTCTCATTGAAAGAGATATCATAAATTTGAATATATTATCCCAAAAATGACTATAATTTTTATTTTAATTCACGTGACTTATAATTTAGTTATTTCTACTTACAACTATTATTTTCCTACAAAATTACTTAAAATCAATGAAGACACAAATAAACAAAAAAAATTGAAATTATATATCATTCATACTCGCCACTTGTATTTTTACCTTAATCTGATAAAATGTAAGTAAATGACCAATTAACCTTCGATTTTGTTGTGGTACATAATTGTCTCCACATAATTGGAGGATATTTCAGGTTTGAGACTCATATTTATGGTTAGTTTTATATATAAGTGTGGTTAAGAATGACGGAACTTTGTTGAGGATGAATTACCTCGATATAAATATCCTATTATTTCAATAATAAAAAATGCAATAACCTTTTTGAAGAACCCAAAAAAATAAAATGTAGGATTCAATCAACCCTAAGCCTAGATAAAGGGCTGCCACCATGCTTTACCAAATTGAATTTGACACGTCTTCAATAGATTCCAAAAGTGGACGGAGAATTTTGTACATGAGTAGCGAAAGTAGCAATGCAACTTGGCCAACAAATACAGTGTTGTGACAAAATAGTATGGACAAAACAATTGCAGCCACAGCTTCTTTTCCTTTTTGAGAATAGAATTATTACCAAAACAATGGAAACCATAGCATGCATGCATGCATTTAAGGCATCTCAAAATATATGGGCATTCGTATTTACTCCATTGTCTCAAAGTAGAAGCATCATCTGAATAAGCCTCCATTCCCATTAACATTGATGTATGATGAGATGCATGATGCATTTCATTTTGGGACCTAAGTTACCTAACCCTTTTTTGTATAGGCATCAATAAAATGTGTTCTTTTTTTTTTTTTAAACAACAAAGTGGTGTTGCGAAGAAGATCCTCGACGGATTATATTTTCGAATATATCGAGTTTTATTCCGAAAAGAGGGAAAATTACAAAACCATATACAAGAATGATCGAACTGATGTATCCTTGAATGCCTTTGAGAGCTTTACCATTTTATTTTTTTTCAGGTCAGGAGATGCTCTCTCTCATGGGTTCACGTGTTAAGAAAAGCATAAAAGACAATTTTGAAATGGACATCACATAGACTGTTTGTCTCTCCGTTTGGGCTGGGGGGCATATGTAGATATATCAGACTTGTTCGGCTTGGTCCGAATCAGGATATACCAAAAGAACCTTAAACGGAAAATATTATCAAGAAAATAAATTTACAGCCCGATCTTTACCTTTTGTAACTTTGATGCAGGTACATATATGTCAATTTCAGATTGTATATTTTTGCACTATATCTGGAACCCTGAGGTGGATCTAAATAAAATTATAAACCGCTTAATTTATCAGGAGTTTGCATGACCTAGGTTTCTACGGTGATGGTGATTATGATAATATAAAAAATGTACAACTATTGTGGAAAAAAACTATCATTTCCACTGGCGGAGTATACGATTGCCCCATCCTCCATTATTGCTACACATGATTTGCCCAATGTTTAATATGTTTGTACTAGGCTAGGCAACTGGGACCGAAAACCGGCCAAACTAGTCGAATAATCGGTTGGATTTGACTTTAAATAAGTTAATTAGAAGAATATTTGGGTGTATTTAATACACCGCATGATATGCTAATGTGGCATTTCGAATAAATTAACACTATTTGCGCCGTGTTTTGAATTCATCATTTAAGATACTAACAGCAAATGCACAAGTATACTTCAGGTGAATACTTTAGGGTTAAGATAACTAACTCCAAACTTGATTACTTTAAAACATGTATAAAAAAAAATAAAAAAGCATGTAGCTAGGAATAGGATGATTAATTGATAGAATGATAAAATATATAGATGGTGAGTGTGTTAAATGTGTAACAAGGAAAAAGAAGAAAAGAAAAGAAAAGAAAAGCTGGATAACATGATGATTCAGATACTGAGATGTCAAAGCGAGGGTTTTGTCGCTTAATATAATTAGAATGACTTTATTAAAAGGCACAGCCCAAGTGTCATCCTCTAGGGTTTGATATTTGTGTGTCATCAGCTGCTAGGGCAGCAGTCGATTTACTTGTTGTATCTGCAGAAAGAAAAAAAGAGAGAAAAGATGAAGAGAGATGAAAGAAACCCTCGAGAGTCATGCCGGTTGCTTTTTCTGCTGCTTCCACTCACAGCTTGACAAATACTACTCACGAATCAAAAAAACTGACCAAATTAACTCACTCCATCCATTACATCTTTTTTTCTTTTCTTTTTCTCAGTATGGTCATCACATCACTACTGTTACTGTTTGTTTTTCGACTTTAATCAATTTGTGTTTGTCTGTTGATGTCGTTGGTCTTTTCTTTTAACTTTAATTAGCTTTTTGGCTTCTCATGATCATCGTCTTTCTTTCTTTGTTTCCCGCATTCATCGTACCCTTTTCTCATATGTCCATGTCTGCTCTCTCTCTCTCTCTCTCTCTCTGTTATAATGACACAGGAGTGACCCTACTAGCAGCTAGTAGCTAGCAAGGGCCAGCCAAAGATGAGGGCTGGTTGACGTGCCCACCAAAATTGGTGGGGTTTTCCGCTTTCGGAAATATTCGAATTACCTTCTCATTCCTTCACTGTATTAAGTACTTAAAGTAAAACTAAAAACTTGTTTTTAGATTACTACTTTTGATCCAAAAAGCGAAAAGAAAACTATTATTTGGGTTAATATTCCTTCAATGTTATGTTAACTTAACGCGTCATGTTACGTACTATACTCTTCAAACACGTTTTAACATGTTATAGTAGCATATCATCTTTATGAAATATGTTTTTTGTTTTAATGTGTTACACTTTTATTATGTGTTTGACGTTGTTTGACGTAAGTATTTATAAAATATTTTGTATGCTATATTTGCTTGGTATTAATTTGTTAACTTTTGACATTTAATCATTTGTTTGAGAGAGAGAGAGAGAGAGAGAGAGAGAGAGAGAGAGAGAGAAGGGAAAATAT